CGATGTGATTTATTTAATGAAATAATTGTAATTTGTGGCTTTAGGTCGTCATTGGTTACTAGTTTTTGGTAGCCAGTTAAAACGGTACCTTTATTTGAATTACATAGTATACCTAACATAAATAACTTTAAAAAATATATAACCCGACTTTAAAAATATAATGACTGTACCGAATTGTATTTTTTATTCTTTAATTTTCTATCCTTGGTGGTGATTTTTTTTTCTTAATGTAGAAGCCAAGGGAACATGGGGGTTCCCACAGGAGGAGGTCATCTACCCGCCGCAGATGGCCCGAGGTACGTCGGAGTACCAGGGATTTCCTTTCTATGGTACACGTTACTAGGGTACAGGTTAGACGGCATGCGGTTTTTAGTCGGTTCGAGTCCGACATAGCCACCGTTATGGTGTATCTGAGAGGACTTCGGCACAGAAAAAAAAAGAATTTTCCAAATCTGACTAATAGTTCTTGAGATATACGAGTATGCGTTCAAAAACAAAAACAAACTCTCCAGTTTTTTTTAAATGTATTGTAAAAGTCCTACAGAAATATATTCATATAAAGCAACACGTCGGTAGTCTAAATCGGTCTATATTTAAAACAAATCTGACATACATTTTATTTAAACTCTTCGACACTCCGATACAACCCCCACGGGGAGGATCGGTCAATTTATACGAACACAAGGACGTATACAACAAAGCGACATGATTGTCATTAAGAACAAAAATGAAGTTGAGGGTACAAAACAAAACATAGGGTTGAAATGGCAACGGGATAAATTGAAAAGCGAACTCGGCCGATTGAACGTCCCGCGGGAATAGGGCGGGGCGACGGTGGAATATCGATTGAAAATATGTTATTTTTTTATTGACTTGTCATCGTTTCGCGAATGAGGAATACATTTGTTTTTATTTGTGTTAAAGTTATTTAAAGTGTAGTTTAGGTAGTACACTTTAATAACTGTATATGTATTTGTTTTTGACTGGCTTGTTGGTCTAGTGTAGTCAGCGATCCTGACTGCCAAACTAGTGGTCGCGGGTTCGATAACCTAAGTCAGTAAGTAAGTTTGTATGATGAGTTGGATCATTTATTCTGTCTGGGTGTAATTTATTCAAAATATGCATATATTCAGAAATATAAAAGTATTTAAAAGATAACTGTGCTTGGTTAATGGAAATAGGCTTGACACTTATGACTTCAATGGGACTAAAATTATTGTCGACAAAATATGGGCATTTAAATACGCGTCTGTCTACCCCCTCAGGGATAAAACGTGATTGTATGTGTGTAATGGGCATAATCATTTGCAATCAGAAATAAATGTTAGTGCCTAAGATGTTTAGGTTCATTTTGGCAACTTAATTTATTTTCGTTGAACTGTGTGTACGTTAATTAAACTGAGAAGGAAGAAAACAAGGGTAGGTGTTGTTCTTGTAAGGTAACTGCTAGTACCTAGTAGTCCTAATTTTGGTTTGGTGCTTGTATTGTTTTCTGTAGCTGGTCTCTTTCTAAGGAGAGGCCTATGTCCAGCAGTGGACTATTAAAAGCTGTTGATGATGATGATGATTGTTTTCAAGCTGTAGGTATTAACGAATCGATGTTTTTAAATACATCACTTAAGAAATATTATTATTAAGTATTACAGTAGTCTTAATATTTAATATTAAATTTAAAAAAAAAAAGTTGTTGAGCTTTGAAGTGTTTAAATAAATATGAAAAATAGATTCCCGGAAATGAATCCCGGTTCTTTCCCAACACTATCCAGTTTTCAATTTAAATCGGACAATGGTCAGCAACCTCCCCACGCAATTCATATCGTATTGTTTACAAAGTAAGTAATATCATCAAATCTGTGGACTGAGATAAACAATGAACTTATTGTGACACAATTCTGACACAAGTGAGTGACTTGTCAAATCAGTTTTCTTTTATTAAACTTCAAAAACGTCAAAATAATGTATTCTATGGAAACTTGTGGCAAATAACAACATATGACTCTACCTAACACCCTGACGCTGGCACAATCATCGATATCCGATGGAGCCATTTAATTAAACATCATATGTAAACGGCATACGCTGCTATGGTTAAATATTTTATTTATAAGTTTGAATTTACAACTTCATAAACCAATAATTTTTCATAGTGTACTCAAAATATAGCATTCAAAACTATATACTCTAAGTCAGGGATTCCCAAACTATTTTGGACAAGGGGCTTTACTAAAATGAACTGATACCTCAGACCCCTATAGCTAAATTACTGCACCCTTATCAACTTGTTGAGTATTTTAAAAGTACAGCAATGATACTTCACGGCCCATCAGAAAACCGGTGTTTAGTGAGTGAGGAGTGAGGTTACCGGAGCCTCAAACACCCTCGTCTCCAGACTGGGGGTCTGGGGGTCTGACTTGGTGGCGATAGTCACTCACCATCAGGTGAGCCGTCTGCTCGTTTGCTCCTATGTACCATAAAAAACCCCACTATAATTAGTAAGTTAAAATAACAATTGAGTAATTATTTTCTCTCATTAATGTATCTTTCTCTAGTTAAACTAATTAAGTAGTGTACGTTCGCGTTAACTGTCTAACAGCGAGCTCGTCATTTGCGGTTAACCGAAGTTAAACTAAGGTACTTAGTTAACCGGTAGTTAAACTGCGATTAATATTAAATTGTACATAATTGTGGTTTTATAAGAATTATAGCTTACTAGTATAACAATAATAATAATATTGTATCTCTCTCATCACAAAGGTAGGTGTACTTATAAATACAGATCAATCAGTCAGAGTCAGTCAGATTGGTCTGTGTGGTGACGGATTAAGAATACAGAGTGTCACCACCCCTATTCATCCAGTGGGTGTCGTAAAAGCCGACTAAGGGAGAAAACTACGCAGAACAACAGCCCTGGAGAGAGAAGGAAAACTTGACACAAACCCTATACCAACCCGTGTGGCCACCGTAGTATAGTAGGCCAAAACTACTTTCTAAGGAGAGGCCTATATCCAGTGGTGGTGGACTGAGGTGATGGATAATGGACTGTTAAAAGCTTTTGATAATAATTATTTTGAGCTGGAAATTCGAATTTAAATAAAAAAAATGATTCATAAAAACGTTAAAAAAGTTACGAGTAGATTAAGGAAAAATATGGCTATGATAGCTGTGTGTTAGATTTACGATTTGGTGAGTGGGAATTACATTTTTTAACACGCTTTAATTAACTGTTCTTGTAATTAATTTTACAATTATGTAAATAAATCTGTGAAGTCAATTTTAATCTAATTTTAACTGTCGCGTCGAAATGAATCTTTATGTGTTAATTTAGCTAGACAGTTATATAAATTGGCATCTAGGAATTGATCTAGTGATGGGTCTTCCAGGTTTCTACCAGTAAACCCCTCGAATTATGAGTCGTTTGGACTAGTGTATCAAATTGGGCTCTTTCTAACGTATAAGTAATTATTTGCCACTTAAATTTTCAAACACTGTTTTGTGATCTTCCAACGGTACCCATATTAACCAGTTACAACAAAACGAAACAAAAGAAAATGACATAAGCGTATTGTCTATCTGCGCACGCGCCGGACGCAGCCTATGGAACGGGGGCACACACACACAAACACATTTGTATTGTGTTCATACAGAAGCTTACGAAGCTGGCGTCTGCTTTCTGACGGTGTACAATATGGTTGCCACCGGTGTTATGGTATGTAGTATCACACTTTGTTTTTATCAACTTTACTAAATATTGGAAAATAATAACATTTAAAAAAATAATAATAATATCCGTTTAGATAATTTAATTTTAACGATTCTTATGATACCTAAGCAATAAACTGAAAATTTTCTATCAGTAAAGTTTGTATAATTTGAAAATACAATACGCTTGATTTAGCGTGTAAAATTTCTTCCCATAAATTATTTATTTTTATACATGAAAGTACATACCAATTATCTACTAAAAAATGGTATCAACCCTAGTGTACACAAGTGTGTGTGTCTATATACAGTATGTTTGAAATAAAATAGGCAAGTGTGTGTGTCAGTGAGTGTATGTGTGTGTAGGTGGGGTTAACAGCATCGTATCACAGTTGTAATTAAAGGAGTATAGGAATGCAATCATTTTTATTGTTGCTAAATATTGCTCAAATCCATCAGTCTAGGTAACTTTCAAATTCATTTTGATACGATGTTTGAAAGTGCCGCTGTTAACCACAAAATAGACCTTAAAATAACGTATCAAATCTCATTTTTGGAAGTTATAGATTTCAAATACGATAAATTATTACTTTCGGACATTTTATTCTGATTACTAAGTCGAGATAAGGCACAATTCGTAGACACTTTACGTAAACTAAAAAAACTAAAATACTTACTTATACTTTACGTAAACTTTACTACGCGTTAGGCAGTTGGGTTAAGGGTCTGATGCAGAAAGCAGTTCTTCTCGATACGGCACGTATTGTGAGGAAGTTTCTGTCTCTGGAGTCCTAACCACCGATATCTTGGTACTATTTTTTATATTTTTAAATGTTTTTTTTTTGTTTTTGTATATAAATGTAATTTATATGTATAAAGAATGAAATAAAGATAACAATAATAATCTTTATTTGGAACAAGAAAATAATATATAATTGAAAGATGTTCGATAACAGCCATATTAGTTAAAAATTAGAAATCAATTATCTAAGATATTTGTCGATGTCACATCTACTGTTTGGAATTTATTGTGAGGATGAATTTACTTAATACCATTGATTCTATGTCCGCTTTGTAAATAGACATAGGTATTCTGTTTTATAGTCATAGCCATATGTTTACCATTTAAAAAATCCTGCAGTTCTACGGCTTCAATCTTTGAACCATTACAGAGGGGCAGAGGAATTGTAAACCATTTTTTTTTAAAACTAAATGGCCGTTGTGTTACACCAAAACCTATTTGACATCCCGTCTGAAACCTTGGAGATTCTGTTATAGGGTTAACAAACAATCCCACTCACCTTGACAGTATCTTGGAGACGCAGCCGTGTGAGACACGAAGTTGTCGACTTATGTCACAGGGCCTCACTCCGCTATGAGCCAGCTCTACTATCCGTTGGCGCACTACATCAGGCAATGGTCTGCCATTGACGAACACACCTCCTAATTGGTTTACTCCACCGTGACCTGGAAAAAAAATATATTTATTAGTCTATGATTTGACCACGAATTGTAGATGAAACTCTAACTAGTAAGGAGTATAGTACATCTCTTATACCTTAACTTATTTTTAAGAAATAGGGGGCAAACGAGGAGTTGCTGTATTAGAAGCCGTCAACCGTCATAATAGACAAGTAGGTATAATATAAAATGCTTTCTTTTCTCTTTATAATAAAAGACAACTCCCGCACTAGGAATATGTCCTGTGTCGAGAGGGAGTTCTCAAACATTAATGAAACGGACACAAATAATAATTTGACTCTTAACAACAATTTGTGGAACACGAGTATTGTCTTATGTGGGGATCGAACCCACAACACTCAAAGCAGTAGGAAGAGGCCAAGTAACCGCTTAAAACTCTACGCCATGCGTGCAGTCATAGTATGAAACACCTACAAAGACTAAAAAGTTACGAATCTCTAAAGTCTGTCAGAAAACAGTCTAAACAGATATTCTTAAATTATAGCTTATATACATAAATTCTCGTGCAGATATTCTTTCAAAACTAAATTAAAATTTATTCATTCGTTTAGGAGCTACTATGCCACAGACAGACACACAGATCAGATATACAAGTTAAACTTTTAACACTCCTCTCTGATAAAAAATGTGAGGTACAGATGAAACAGCTTATTCATATCAGTCAAAACACACACAACAACAAATCTATAAATATCAAATGTAATCTTTACTAGCGCCAATACGAAATACGAATACATTATTAATGAATGCCTGCCATGACTCGCGTATCGACCGGTTATCCAGCCGTATCGACCGGTTACCGAGCCGTATCGACCGGTTACCGAGCCGTATCGACCGGTTACCGAGCCGTATCAGGACGTACACGATCGATGGACGCGCTCGGATGCCCGGGTATTAACCGGGTCTTAGTAGTGTAGTCAAATAGCCGGAGTATTGTATTGTGTAGGTTTTGAAAGCCGAAGTGTGCGAAATGTTTTGTGTTGTGTTTTTGTTTGAAGTAAAATGTTTAGAGAAAACTGTTATAGATAGGTTTCAATGAGCATATGTAGATTCATTTAAATGTAACACTTAAATAAAAAAGTATTGTTTAAGAGAACAGATCGTTCTAATCGTTCTTATACAGCATGTTATGAAGGGAGATTAACCGGGATTAACGCTCGGATGATGATGATGACGGAGGCAGACGCGGTCTAAAATTTGTATTGTATTTGAATTTCAGCACAATCATCATCATCAATCGTCCTTCATAGTCCACTGCTGGAGATATGAGTCTCCTTAGAAAGGCCTACGATACGCTGGCCAGGCGTGTTGGTATAGGGTTTGTTTCAAGTTTTCCTTCTCTTTGCAGTGCTGTTGTCCTGCATAGTTTGTTCTGCGTAGACGGCTCTTACGACACCCACGGGATAAACAGGGGTGATGACACTCCGTATTCTTAATACGTCATCACACGGATTGTATTTTAAGTTGACGTTTTATTTAAACGTTACTGTAAGAGAGAGAGAGAGAGAGATATGGAGAACGTTTCTACATACGATTACATTACTGATGTTTCTTCAGAGAGGAGGATGTTGTAATTAACGTAGCAGCAGTACCAATTATTTTTGTAGCTTAGCTTTTAGCTTTTTAGCTTTAAAAAGACAATTTGGTGGGAAATAACAATTAAAAACTTTACTATAAGTTACATTTAATGTTATTTTTTATAGGTATATCTATCTACGACTAATTAGCATTGTAATTACATATAAATTTTCTAGCAAAAGAACGAGTGTTGACGTGAAACGTAGTAATACTGCCAGCCTTCTGTAAATACTACCAATAGGTAGGCAATTTTTTTTTAATTGATTAAGTAGATCAATTTATTTATGTAGTTATTTGGTTATGTTTCATTTGCACTAAAATATAAATATCTCAAGTTATTAATTAGTTAAACAATAACCTTTATAATAATGTAATAGGGTACTCGTTTTTAACCAATAATAGAAGATATTACTCGTAACCAGATATACCCAAAGGCTGGCAGTTTTTCATTCAAATATTCTCTATTCTTGAACTATTATCTTAACGCTACGCTCTCAACGTTACACTTTCATACCCGGGCGGGGTGAGCACGAGGCGTGACGATCGACCGGTCACGCCCCCGGTCGATAACCGGGTGTACCCGGTTCTGCCGGCTGTTTGTGTTCGATGTTTCAATGGTGTCGGCTGTTTTGATGTCATTTGTATATTGGTTTTAGGTTAACAGATACTAGGTTTAGTTTAAGGTATTTGTATTTGAACAGAGATTGAATATGGGTTTCTTTAAATCTAATGATAAGAAGGATCCGTTGGAGAAAATTATGTTTCCATAAATTTTTAGTAGTCAGTAAGTAAAGGGTTGAGAAGGAGAAGAGAGTAATAAATATTAAATAAGAGATAACCGCTTCACAGCTAAGAGATAAATTTATATTCTTTTTTTTAAGGTTCTTTGTCCCCTGGGTGGGTCAGTAGGCATCCACAGCAATAAGTCTCCACCTCGTTTAGTCTTAAATAAAGCATGACCGACTTCAGTGTGCTTATATCATGATAAATTGTATTAAACTGTATTCTTCTTTCCTCAATTTTTCCACCCCTAAAGATAATGTTATTTCTTTGAATTTAAGTAGCACCAAACTTGAGTGCGACTAATTCAATTATGGGTAAATCGCTGAAATCGGTTGATTTATAACTAAGATTTCACAGAACAGATAAAAATAATCAGACGAATTGAGAACCCCGTGCGTCTGAGTCTGTTACAAGTAAATTTGATTAGAGCTGGAATTGTAAAACCGGATGATCATGATGTAACTCTTGTTCCAGAAGTTGCAAGTTCCAAATGAAAAAAAAAAACTAAAGTTTCATCAAATATGTAATCATCAAATAACTGTAAAGTCAAATCCGTATCTTTAAACGTCAAAACGCGTCTATCGTTTTGACGTTTAATAAAAAGATACATAGAATGAAAAGGTACATTTTTGTGTATTCAGTATTGCGTGACGTCATATCTAGCTATTGTCAAACCATAAATATTTAATGATGATTTGAAGATATAAAAACAAAATAAAAATTAAAAATTGAGGACGATTCTGGCTGTACTTTAAAATGTTACATTTAATGATTTAGTTGATGTAGGGTTTGTTTCAAGTTTTCCGTCTCTTTGCAGTGCTGTTGTCCTGCGTAGTTTGCTCCCTTAGTCGGCTCTTATTGTGTGTGTGTGTGTGTGTAATGATTCAGTCGAAAGGATTTATTTTAATCCTAGGAATATACCCTATTGTGTGGCTGATGGTAATGTCTATTAATTCTTTTTTAAGAAGCAGTAAACAGTTTTATAAATAAGGGTTAATATATTATGTTATCAATAGTATCTTGAATTGAATTATGATCGGAACCGCCATTGAAAACAATTAATATACATGGGAGGTCTTGCCAAAACATGTTTCTCTATGCTATGTGTTTTCGTTACCTGTAAATAATTTATTTGTTTGTTCCATTTGTATGTACGTTACAAATGAAGGTGTGTTCTGCAATTTAAAGATTTATTACTTTACACATAAATCATAGTTTACAATTTCAACGTAATTAATTAATTAAGTTTGAATGTCGGTTACATAGCGGCTATGCTGTTTAACTTGCTACTGAAAGGTTCCAGCTTGGATATTATTTCTATTAGTTTCCCAAGAGTGGAAGAAATACTAACTTATAAACAAACTAATAAACAATTTTTGGAAAAAAGGGATGTTTTGGAACCAAACCTACTCCATTTTAGATTTCAATATAGGTATGCAGTGAAATCAGTGCAAGAATACATAGAAATTTATATAAATTGTTACATTTTTAATTTATAAATATGTTTATTATTCATCAACAGCCTTTAATAGTCCACTGTTGGACGTAGGCCTCTCTTTAGAAAGGAGGTTTTGGCCCACTATACCACGCTGACCAGACGGGTTGGTATAGGGTTTGTGTCAAGTTTTTCTTCTTTTTGCAGTGCTGGTGTCCTGCGTTATTTTACGCCTTTAGTCGGCTTTTTAATATTATTCCTGGGTTTAATACTACACTATATTTTAATTCTGTACGTGTTACAATACTATTTATATACTGAACAATATTATTTTGATTGTGTTGCAATTTCATTAAAATAAAAGTTCTTTCTGTAATATAGATTAGTCTTTAATAATAAATGTTAATAAAATTAATACGAGTATAATATATGTTAATAATATCTCGTAAAATTAGTGTTACGAGATATTATTAACAAAGTTCTGTTCAGCTGTTTAGGAGCTTCATTTAGGTAAAACATTACTATTTGACCTCCCCTCCTGGAGTGGTAACAAGGCTTCACAGAAAACCGTTATTAAGCCATTCTTTGAGGTGAGGTTACCGGCTCCTAAACCTCCCCTATTGGGTACTTTCCCCCAAGTTCTTAAAGGCAACGCACTTGTGCCTTTTGAGTTGTATGAGCTAAAGGTAGTCATTAACCCCCCCCCCCACCCCCTCACCCCCAAAAAAAAATAGCTTTAACAGTTTTCTTGCTCAACTTGAAAGAAATAGTGTCAGTAAGTATATAATTTTAAATTGTTTCACAATTTCCTACTACTAAGATCTAATCTTATTGTTTATTTAATAAGTTTATCTGTTGAAACTGAAGTACAAATGAGGCCTTGTTGGAGGTAGTAATTAGGCTTAATAGCAGACAAGATGGCCGACCGGAAGCTGGGGATTCCGAGCAGTAGAGATAGCATACAAAATTCCTGAATTTAATTTTTTTTGGTTCTTGGATGACTCGTCTTTGTTATGATATAAACTGGAAAATGATAAATGAGTACCGCGACCCATGGACACAGCTGATGAAACACAATTGCGTTACTAACCATTGAATAACCATCGGTAATCTCAAGCCTGTAAAAACCATTTTGAAATAAAACAAATCTCAAACAGATGTTTTTAAATTCATAAATAGTACTAACTTT